GAGCATTTATTTATCACGTCGTTTTTTTACATACAGAATTATGACATAAATTCAGATGTGATCAACATTGCAGTTTACGTATGATCAGGAAATATAATGCTTACCTAAAACCAACATTCAATTTGTGTAACTGATCAGTTATTGGAGCTCAGATCCATGAGGCAAATTATTCGCCTCTTAATAGAGTTCTAAGCTTTCCATGGAAGTTTGTGCACTTTGTATCATGGGATCACCATAGTAAAATCATAAGTCTTTGTTGTATGTGTTGAATATAGAAAATTGACACAAAACCCCATCAGTGAAGTACATATAAAAGATTCATATTTTGACTTCAGGCACATATATTTCTATTTTAATAAAGAATGTGTGGGGGTTTGTGTGTGTCAATGTACTTACTGGGTTATTAAACTTCATGACCTTTAATTTTACCACTGATACTCTAAAAGTGAATAAAGCAAAGTATGTGTTTAAATGAAGGCTTGAGCCATACCAGCCCTCCCACCCAATTTCCTTATAAACTACATAATACTATACTGATCCTTTTGACTTTTGTCCATTCACACTTTAGTCATCTCTAGCATATATTTCCCACTTAGATAATACTTTGCATCCTGTGTGTCATTCTAGTGTACAATATATATATATATACAACGAAATAATTTGGTTCCCCGCTATGGACAACGGTTCTCTATAAGTATCACAACAGTTCTCTTATTAATTTAAAATGAAAGTATTTTATTCTGTAGCAGAACCTCAAATATGATGGCCTCGCCTAGCTCACAGCTTGAAGTGCATGTTTCTTTGGGGTAAAACTGAAAGAAGTATTCACTGTGTGGAAGAGGCCTAGCCCAGGTAGGCCTCCTCATATTTTGCTGCTTCCTTGAGTATGTGTGAGGGTTATTGTGGAGCCTAGAATGTTTATGATAATTTGGTAGGAATGGAAGAAAGAAAATTCACTGCAAAGCAGCGGGACACGGCGCTGGTTTCAAAGGTTTTGATGGTGTCGTTCACTGTGTTTCAGAGCTGTATCCAACACAGCAGGCACAGAACCATCCATTTAGTTTATGAATACTCATTTTTCTGAACTTTATTTGGGTTTGGATCCTGATTTATGCAAGCAGAAGGCCACTCAATCCAGCAGAGCTTTCCTTGGCCCCTTGTCTACATTGCAGCCCAGCTTCCGAAAAGCCACTTCTGATTATCTGAACAGGATGGGAGAGGGGGAATGGGGTCCTGCAGAGGGAGGAGGAAGGTGAAATTCAAGAGGAGGCAAGGAGTGGCTTTTCAGGCGGCCCAGAGGACCCCATTGAGGACAAAACGGGTAGGAAATGTCTGTTTAAACAGTCTTCTGTCCATGCAGGCCCAGATACAAACCATTTTGTATCCAGTATTTGGATTTTAAAATAATACTGTTCAGTTGAACAGTACAAATTTAGTACAAATGTAGGTGTTCATGTGATCTGTTTTCTCAGCTGTGAAAGGTTTCATTTAAATGACCTTTCTGCTTACCTTTTCTAGACACAGCCGATTTTCCTGATAATTTCATTCATGATTTTCCCAAACGTTTTGCCCTAAGCAGCCTTATAATAGAGAACAACATGATGTTGATGATATTGTATGGGTCCCCTGGGAACATAAGAAGAGCTTGCAGGACCAGCCCCCAGTTTCTATATGTGCACCCATAAACGACTGAAATACGTGTGCATGGTTTTTACAATCCTTTTAATTAAAACAAACAAACAGACTCGAATTCTTTGTAGCATAGATAGTTGGAGAGAATTGTATTGATGCTGTGCATGATGGAATACGTACATTATTCTTTTTTAGCAATATCTTCTCTCTTGTGGTGTGATGTGGCAGGTACATGTCAAAGTGTTTTTAGTGGACGTGTTAAGGCAGGAAAGGAATCAGTCTTGACCTCATCCAGGGTGAAGCAGCAGCACTGTGTTTTTGTAAGACTGGCAGTGTTGCTCGATTTCTATCTCTGTAATACGTTGTGCAGAAGCTTGCCCTCTCCTTTCCTCTCTTTGTACCAGAGATGGTACAACTTCTTTGTTTGTGGGAGACTATATTCTGTTTTCCTGACTGTTGCCCAGAGGCTGGAAGCATTGACCTCAGTAATGAGGCTAACTCCATCAGTAAGAATATAAGTGTGCAGGGCATGTAGGCAGGCACAGGTGTGGCAACACATTGAAAATCTAAATGAGAGGTGTATCATTAAAGTGTGTCCCTCAGGAGCCACATGAATTTGCTTGAGTAGCAAGATCTGCCCTGCGGATTGTTGGCAACCAGCTCTGTATCATCTCTTTAAATCATGAATGAGCAACCTCTGGCCCATAGGTATAGTTAGGCCCACCCCAGGTCCCAGTTTGGCTTGTGAGGCTGTTTCCCCAAAGCCACACCTCATACAGGCAGCTACGATTGAACAGTTGCGAGCCTTAATGTCTGATCAGTTGATGGATCATGACAGCTAGCTGCTGGGGTCAACTGCTGTAGTGCAGCCGATGGAAAGTATAATAAACATTTGAGGGCTGATTGTGTGCCAGTAGAATAATCCTAGGTGGTTTTAAAAGCTGCTGAAGGTGTGAAAGCTCAGGTCACTCTAGTTTGCTTGCCATGATCTCACATCATGCAATTAAGCCATACATTTTGCAAATAAGGGAAGACCACAAGCCTTGTTTCATTGTTGGGCTGATATGCTACAGATACGGCACATCTCTTTTCTTCCAACAGACACAGCAGGTACTGTTTTCTAATGTTAGCCTTGTCAATATACAATAATTAAAGGATCCAGTATGAGGGAGGGCAGAGGAGATACATTCTTTATATTCTTACTCGTTTCATTTTGTATGAGATCTGCAGAATTTTTTTATTTTTTTTTATAATGGAGGGTGAAATGCTTAGTATTATCAATGCACTATTTTACTTAGCATTTTCTCTGGGGGAGGCAAGAATAGTAGCTTGGAAAGTATGGAAACCAACCCGAGGCCTGAAGATGTGATCTCATGTCTACAGCGTCACAACTTTTTATGATTTCTTAGAGGAAAAATAACATGCCAACTTTTATTACCAAGATGGTAGTTAGCTTATGATGTAGTCTTGCGCACACTTACTTGGAAGAAAGTCCCATTGAAGTAAATGAGACTTGCTCTTGAGTAGACGTGCAAAGGATTGTACTGTAAGTATTAGTACTGAGAGACGGAATCTGTCCTGACAGAGCATTTCAAGCTATGTAGTTTTCACGTCTATTGAGATCTGAGTTTTATAAACTGTCAGTTACATTTTGTATGTTGTAAACCAAAGCAAAAAGCCTTGCCCATAATTGCACTGTTCTGTTGCTTTTGAACCGCATTGTTTTAGTACCTCTAGCAATGCAAGGTTAATTGTATTATTGTGAAAAACTGCCTTTGAATTCATATAATTTAAAATACAGGTTTGGGCTTTCAAACTCTCTCCATCATGAAAAGCATTGTGAGGTATGAAAACATTGTTAGCAAAGACAGTGTCTTTATTATTCATACTAAATTTCAGCGTTATCCATTACTCTGTTGCGGCTAGAACAGCGAGAGTCCTATGGTACCTTTAAGCACAAACAGTGCAAACCTGTACATGTCTGCATGTCTACTCATTGTAAGTCCCATTGAGTGCAATGGAGCTTACTCCAAGGTAAGTGAAAATAGGATTGTAAACTAACGGATTCATTATGGTTTAAGCTTTTGTGGATTAGATGCACAAAACGTTATTCTCAGTTATATATGCACGTAAGTACAGTAAAAGAACATTCAGTGAAGCCAGTAGGCTGTGTGATACGAAATGCAACAGGTCTGCAGAGAATCATGGTCTATCCACAACAGCTGCCATTGGTGATACTTTATCTTTTTGGCAATTTATGCTGGTATTCCAAGGTAGAAAAGTAAAACGAAAGCAAAAACCTGATCTCACTGCATTAGAAATGTAAGACCCACCATTACCGAATGAGCAGTAGCGAGATTATTCCATTCTATGGGAATAATGTAATCACTGTGGTTAATAGCACATATATTTGGGGTTTCTGTGTACGAAAGGCAATGAAAAAGGGTTCTTCTGCAATAATGTACTGATCTGAAAAGTGCATGTTTGAGTTAGTTACGTGGCACAAAAGTGAAGCCTGAAAATAACTGTCTTTTTGCCATTATCCACAACTTACCACAATAAGCGCAACAACAGATGTTTAAATTCTATTCACTGCAGCCACCGTTGCAGGAGCATGCAGTGGAGGAGACCCAAGGCTTTATGTTCCTTGCCGTTAGGAAATCTGTGAAATCCTGCTCTATGTTTTACTGCATGACAATTTGGTGGCGGTAGTGGTACACCTGCCCAGTGTTATAAGACTAAATGCATGAGCCCCTTGCTTGATGCCCCACATAAAGCCAGATTATGGGGAGGTTGCATCCAGTTTTTGTGTTGCCTTGTAATGTCTTGCTGTTTATTTATATACAGTACTGGTAGGAGAATGGACGTTTCTACAAAAAGTTTTGTTTGCTAACAACAGCAGCAAAATTGCAGTGGCGCAACTAACACGTTCTGGTGTCCATTCTTCTTCACAAGCAGTTTCTTGGCATCTGCTGCTGGAGACTGGAAGTATTTTGTTGCCTATTGTAGTAAAGGCTCACATAGGGGACCCACAAATTGTTTTATATTTTGGCTTCGTTGAAGCCTTTCAGAACAGCGACTTTTGGCAGCAATAAATAAATAAATCTATGGCATATCAGTGATATTACAGAAAGGGGGGTGAATACAGCTTCATATTCTATAGAATCCTTAAGAATTGGTATCAGAATTGAGCTTTAAAGCCCATCCTAATATGAAACGGGTTTATTTCCAGTTTACATCTCTAGCGTCCTAGTGTGAGCCCTTACTACATAGTGTGATGATGAAAACATGACCTTATTTTCAATTATGCCTAACTGACATATTTCTTGTTTCCCTGTCTTACTATTTGTCTCCTCTTTAACTGGAAGAAATGTCAAAAAGAGAAGATACGATCCAAGTCAGCAGGGTATCTAAGGAACTCCTTGGAAGAGCTTTTCTGTGCATTACTGGATTCCAGACATGGTGGCTTTTTGTAGTAGCTGCACAGAAAGTACGTCACTGCAGAAGAAAATTAAGACGAGTGATTTACTACAAATGGCAAGTGGAGATACTTATGAAAGGGCTGAAGGAAAACTTGTCCTTTTCGGAGATTCACATTTAAGAACTCCCTCCACTCATTTCTCCTTTTTTTAAGGTGATAAGAAACGGGACAGATGTTATAAATGAACTATTTTGGCCGAACTTTTTTAAATACAAAGAACAGAGCAAACAAATCAAGTGCAATAAGAGAACTGTTTCAAAATAGTCAAATAGGTAAAAAGTTTCATAACTGATAACTTGAGTTCGCATGACCTTTTAATATTAACGACAGACTCCAGTGGCATGATAAGCTAACTTTTGAAATGGTAAACTGCATGGCATATATACAGCAAACGAGCTAACAAGCTGACCCCAAGCCGAGTCTGCATACCAAGAAAACAAACCAAAACATAGAAATGCTGATTCTGGGTACTTAGGAAATCACGTTCCACCAAGATACACTATTCTCCAAGTTGTACAACCCCTTCCTAATATATATTCCTCATTCATCTCAATTTTATTTTGGGGGCAATCTTATTTATGGTCCTGCAGGTCTTGTATAGTTTTCAGTATAAAAATGAGCAATTTTTGCCATGCCATTCTCAGATAGTGACACATTTTCTTAAGGGTTTTGTTCTATGTGTGATTCTATCTTCTCGGGTTGTAAAGCTTTCTTAAAACATTGCTCCCCTTTTAAGTTTTTGTAGCATGTTGTATAGCGGGGGTTCTGGGCTTGCTCTCAAAGGCATATCGCATGCAGACACAGGGAGTTCTAGCAGAAAACAGGCGTGCTTTTTAAATTTGTATGCTTGAAACCAAAAAACAAAAAACAAAAACACTCACCCATCCAAAACCTATTAATATGTATAAAGTGCATATGTATGCAACGAATCTTTTCAAATGCATTATTTGCTGTCATGCAGATATTTTGTATATAGTGTAAGAAGTCAACACCCTCTCAAATCAATCACAGAAGTGCCAAGCTTATAACTCTTTAATTTTACCATCTGTTTTCCTTTCTCGATCTCACATTATACGAAAGGAAAAGAAGCCTAAAGAAGCCTTAAATACCCATAAAAATACTGAGAGCTTTTAACAGGTTAAGGCTTTCCCATGTATTGTTTTATAGTCCCCAGCACCAGCTCACCTCCCAGGTCCCCATCCATTTATAAAAGTGATCCCAATAGCCATGTCTCTGAGTTGACCTGCGTAGTATGTCTCTTTCAAGTCACAGCCTCGAATGTTACTTCCTAGACTATTTGTGGTTACTGTCATGGCTCAGCTCCCTTTGGCCAAATAAGAAAGGTATCATTGTATATGTTCAGGTAGCGCTTCTCCATGCTTAAGCACAGTGGGGTGCATTCTTCTCCCTCTCCTGGCCCACAAGCCTCTGAGCACTGCTATCAGGTGTAATCACAGATGCGAAGAGCAGCAATGGCACCTGCCATTAGCATGCCACAGTGAGTTGCATTGTGAATAAGGCTGGCTGGGGTACAATTCTGCACGGTGCTTGTGAAAAGGCTTTATGCCAAAGTCCAGATCAACGTCCTGCTGCACTGCTGCTGCAAAAACGCTTGCCAATTTTCCACGCCTTTAGTGGCAAGTCATTCTGCATTCAGCCAGCTATGATTTTCAAGATGGCAAGTATCTCGTAACCCGATTCCTACTGCATCAGATGGATATGAATAGAAAGTGCTGTACATGCTTGGTCTGGTTCTCATTTATGTCAGTGATAGGCTACTTTTTGATTACGATTGGCCTTTGGTTTGTACTCCAAAAGCTTTCATTCTGGTTACAAGTATTCAGGTATCCTAGTATAATTCAGCTGCTCTGGTAAAAATGACCTCCAGTGCATATTGATGTAAACATTTTACCCTTTTTAAAATTATTTTCCCCATTGCATAATTTGGAATGGTCTTTAAAATGAAGCAGGCTGTGATACTTTTAAATTTACATTGAGTTAGATTTTGAATTTAACTGTAGGCATTAAGTAATGGGAGCGTAGAGATACTTTTAATTCCTCAAACTGCAGTAGCAGTTGTAGATTATCACAGTGGCCCTCACCCTATAATCCTATAACGTTTTATGGGCAAGTCACAGCGGTTTAATGGGTGACAGTTTTCACAGAGTTATATACCTGATTAAAATGTGCTAAAGACGCAGTGGGAAGGCGGCGTTGCTGGAATGCATCTTGATATATAGCATTCACGATGCTCTAATAAAGGCAGTCTTGCAGGCTGTGCATCTTACTTCCCTTCTTAGATCTGAGTCTCTAAAAGCAAACTATTACCTGGGTCACACTTAGTGGTAAGGCAAACCATAGCTTAGTGCAAGTGCGCTGGTTTCCAGAGAGGAGCTGAAGGCTGCATTGCACCTTATTGGGGTCTTGCTACTGATCTGTGCTGAGCCGTGGTTTGGCTCAGATGACCTGCTAAGCCAAACCATGGCTTAACTCACTGCAACAAGAGGACCGGACGAGGAGCGAGTGGCTGCAGTCTCTGGAAGCCTTCATACTTGGGTTGAGCCATAGTTTGGCTTAGCGTTACACGCAAACTGAGCCAGTGTGTTCCCTTTCGGGTCTTCCCACTTGCGTCACAATATCGACGAGCAGAGCTATCTTGCTTAATGTCACTTTGCTTTTGACCATATCTGGGATAAGGGTATCTAAATTGGTGCTGGGGTCTCCTTTTTGGTTCTGTTCTGGGAGCGACGTGGTAACCACAGTAGACAACGCCATTCAATATGGTCCTAAAAATCAGATTGTTGTATTTTTAAAAAATCTTGAAGTGATTCAAAAAAAACATTGTAAATGTGCGATGTGATGTTTTTAATCAGACCACACTGGTCCCCAATTATGTATATATGGTAAGAGTTGGTGTAACTTTTTGTTACACTAGCAGTTTCATAAGAAATATTATTTCTTGTCTAAATTTCTCCTCTGCTGTTCTGTTCTGTGTACGTGTGTTTAAAATACACAAATTTTATGTATAGAATGTAAATGACCACGCAACCACATAGCTCACAGAAGTGGATTGTAATGTTTTCCGTGGTACTAGAGTTATATAATCAAACCTGTTAAGGTAGGTACTTACTTTTTTAGAAATTTCATTTACCACATTTTTAAGAGAACATATGTTGCCTATGTTGATTGCCTTTTTTTTTTTTTACCACAACCAGTGTCATTTTAATGGTGTTTTGACAGAATAAATGTTAAGTTACCATTTCATCCACTATTCTTCTGTTCCATAAAAAGGGTTCATCCTGACAGGAAAATGTATGGAAATTTTATATAGCTTATGTTGATATGCTGCATGATCTCACTGAACTGAGCAAATTCTCTACAAGGGGAAAGCTCCACTACGCAAATTGAATATATATATATACATATATAAATATTCTAGGTGCATGTTATAATAAATTACATAGAACTGGAGTTTTACAAAGTTTTCTTTACTATGCAATGATAGGTATTGCACAAACTTAAAATTCAAAGACAAATGTCTGAGGAACTTTACAAAAGAATACTTGAATTTATTTTTGATCTAAGAAGCTTTCAGTCATATTTTATATTCATTGTTGCTTCCACTATTAATCTTCCTTTAAAATTGTTTGTAATTCTTTTTAAAATGCACAATATGACGAACCAGTTTTTGTTTGAAGTTAATACTCATTCATACCTTGTTGGCTGCCGATGAATGGAAATTCAGTTGTCATTGTTCTGCATATTAGTTAAATGAGTATTAAAGAGTTCATGAACATGGAAAGCTACAACTTCTATATCTTTCTTCCTCAAATTAAATTTCTACGTTCCACATCCAAAACGTGTTGCAGTTAAAAGATCGGATAGTAATTAACACTGGAGGCAACCCTTAATCAAAACAGTTTATATATTCACTCATGGGAACGCTGTCATAAATCTCTCCCATTGGTAAAACTGTAATGCTGAGTTGGTTTCTATCAGACATCAAAAATAAGAGTACGACTGCAGCTTAGTATTACTCGTACCTCTGCAGGGTCATTTCACACATTGCAGAAAAAGATGGTCACTGCGTTTCTCGTTCCATATTCTTGTACATTTGGGAGCACCTTCACAGGTCTGGAAACACATAGTGCCCCATGGAAACTTGCCCAAACAGCCAAGGCTCCCCAGGCAAAAAGTTCGACCGTGTGGATTTTAAGAGTAACAGAATACTTCCCATTCAAAAATAATAGTGATCATATGCTTGAGCTGCATTGGTAAGAAGCAGCCTTAATGGTCTGACCTTATTCAGTGATTAGAAGTATAATGTAACAAGGGGGAACATCCTGTTGAGTCCACACCAGCCCTGGTGCAATAGTAAAACCAATACAATCTATCTGGCGTTTCCTGAGCACTTGTCTACCACAAACATGCAGGGCGCCGCACGCAACAACATCCATATGTGCAAATCTCATCTGGGCGCATATCACGGTTAGGGAGCAAATTACCTCTTCCTGGTGCTGACAGCCACGCTACCATGCATAGTACTCTGGAAACAATAGAAAGTTGGAGTCCATTTTGTTTGCAATGATTACCAAGTGCTCAGGAATCATCAGAGTGGAAAACAGGAAAGATCTTGGTGAATGGCATTCCCAGTGGCTTCACTGACTCCATTGGGGAAGGGAAGGGGGCAAGGGAAGCCCGTCATGTTGTATCAGCTGTGGGGGATAGTACACCAGGAGAGGATGCCCTCCCCATAATCCCTTCTGAAGAGTGGGTTCTCTGTGGGTGATGCGGGTGGCACTGTGATCTAAACCACTGAGCTTCTTGGGCTTGCCGATCGTAAGATCGGCGGTGCAAATCCCCGCGACAGGGTGAGCTCCCGTTGCTCTCTTCAGCTCCTGCCAACCTAGCAGTTTGAAAGCACACCAGTGCAAGTAGATAAATAGGTACTGCTCCAGCAGGAAGGTAAATGGCATTTCTGTGCTCTCTGGCTTCCGTCACAGTGACCCATTGTGCCAGAAGCAGTTTAGTCCTGCTGGCCACATGACCCGGAAAGCTGTCTGTGGACAAATGTCGGCTCCCTTGGCCTGAAAGTGAGATGAGTGCCGCAACCCCATAGTTGCCTTTGACTAGACTTAACCCTCTAGGGGTCCTTTACCTTTTACCTGCATGCAGCCATACAAGAATAAGGGGCATCTACAACCACAACACCTCTGTTGGGATACACAAGAGAGCCTTTAGGCAGAAATGGCTATGCTAGACACAAGCTAGTCCATTACAGTATTACTACTACAGTGGTGGTACCTCGGGTTAAGTACAGTGGTACCTCAGGTTACATACGCTTCAGGTTACATACGCTTCAGGTTACAGACTCCGCTAACCCAGAAATAGTGCTTCAGGTTAAGAACTTTGCTTCAGGGACGCGGGTGGCGCTGTGGGTTAAACCACAGAGCCTAGGACTTGCTGATCAGAAGGTCGGCGATTCGAATCCCTGCGACAGGGTGAGCTCCCGTTGTTCGGTCCCTGCTCCTGCCCACCTAGCAGTTCAAAAGCACGAAGTGCAAGTAGATAAATAGGTACCACTCCGGTGGGAAGGTAAACGGCATTTCCATGCGCTGCTCTGGTTTGCCAGAAGCGGCTTAGTCATGCTGGCCACATGACCCAGAAGCTGGACGCCGGCTCCCTCAGCCAAAAAAACGAGCTGAGCGCCGCAACCCCAGAGTCAGCCACGACTGGACCTAATGGTCAGGGGTCCATTTACCTTTACCTTACTTCCTCCTTTGGCACCGCCCACGGTCCTGGGACCTGCTGTGGGGGGGGGGTTTAATACATTTGATACTATTACTAGTTATTATTATTATAATACTAGCCTGCAGGCTCAAGGTTCCCAACCCCTATATTAGACTAAGCCCCATTGCTCACCTCTCTCCCCTGTTCTGTGCTAGGCTTTCATCTCTCCCCCCCCCCCCCCCGGTCTGTGCTAGCTTTTCAAAACTATGCAACATCTTCTGGAGAAGAAACTCCAAATGTGATGCAGAAAGTGGAGGCAGCAGCAACCAATGCCTGGTTGCTGCAGATTCTTCCAGGTGCCATCCTTGGAGTTGTGGAATCTTTTTGGGGGAAAGATCTAAACTCTACTTGGAGCCAGCAGATGACAAGGAGGCTCTTCTAACACTTCCTAAAAGAAGCCACCAACCTTTGAGGAGAAAGGAGGAAACATGAAAAAAAAATGGTGGTGTCAGGGGCTCAGGAGCAGAGGCACAGGAAAGGGAGGAGATAGAGACCGAGGGGGAGGAATCCGAGGGAGATGTCAGCGATGACAGCCGTCCGAGGTCTCTGAGTCTCTCCAGCGAATCGGAGGATTCACAGAAAGGGGCTCCCGTGGTCAGAGCAAGGGGGGTGCCTAGGGGGACACCCCAGGAAGAAGGGGCCAGAGGGGATTCAGAGAGCAGCAGTTGGAAATCGGGACCAGCTTCCCCACCAAAGAGCAGTAGGGGGGAGGAGTCCCAGGTATCGGCATCAGGCAGCTCTCCGTCAGCAGAAGGACATGAGTCAGGATTGGCCACGCCTGCATCAGAGAGCGAAGAAACGGTCGAAAGGAAGGTCAAAGACAGGGCGCGCGCGCCAAGTTCAAACCTACAAGAGAGTGGCGCAGTGAGCAGCCCGGATAGGGAGCCAGGTCCTAAAGCCCGCCGAAGGGAGGGGGAAGAGTCAGAGGGGTCCGCGTCCGAAGCGTCCAGGAAGGAAGGGATCCCGGGGGGTAGTAGGACCCAGAGGCGGAAGGAGAGACGGAAGAGGTGGAGTAAGGCTAGAGTCTTAAGCTGGTGTACAGGGGGCGGAGATTCAGACGGAGCTTCGTCGGTCTAGGCTCTAGACGTAGAGACGCATGCTAGGGTTTGAAAATGGAAACTATGCTTCAATAAAGACTTTTGTACAGTTCAACTGGCTAGCGTTGGTCCTCTGTGAGCTGGGACCTGGAGGCAGTCTCTGACAGGTGGTATTGCTGGAGGACCCCCAAAAAACTGGCCCGAGGAAGCAACAACCCCAATGGAAGAGTTGTAGCTGAGGGTGAGCCATCTCCAAAAGCTTCTTGCAGGTGAAAAGATTCCCAGGGCTTTGGCAAATTTGTTAAGGGAGGGGCTGGGGAGTAGTCATGCTTGTTGTTGTTGTTGTTTAGTCGTTTAGTTGTGTCCGACTCTTCGTGACCCCCTGGACCAGAGCACGCCAGGCACTTCTGTCTTCCACTGCCTCCTGCAGTTTGGTCAGACTCATGCTGGTAGCTTCGAGAACACTGTCCAACCATCTCATCCTCTGTTGTCCCCTTCTCCTTGTGCCCTCCATCTTTCCCAACATCAGGGTCTGTTCCAGGGAGCCTTCTCTTCTCATGAGGTGGCCCAAGTATTGGAGCCTCAGCTTCAGGATCTGTCCTTCCAGTGAGCACTCAGGGCTGATTTCCTTCAGAACGGATAGGTTTGATCTTCTTGCAGTCCATGGGAGTCTCAAGAGTCTCCTCCAGCACCATAATTCAAAAGCATCAATTCTTCAGCGATCAGCCTTCTTTATGGTCCAACTCTCACTTCCATACATCACCACTGGGAAAACCATAGCTTTAACTATACGGACCTTTGTTGACAAGGTGATGAGTCATGCTTATAGATACTAATTCCAGCCATGTTTTAAGTATCCAAAACAGCACCACCCAGGAACCAGAGAAAGAGAGGCCTGGGGGACCTGAAAGTTTGCAGGATAGTGAATATCTTCTCAATGTTGATAAGATAAAAAGGCTCTGAGCTGAAATATTGAATCATTGTCTAAAAGGACTAACTAAAAGCTACTTGATGAATGGGCCAAGCATGGCTCTTTGCTAGCACCTTGCTCATTGGAAAAGAGTCTACAGCTCTTTGATCTACACTGACAATCAGCTGATCAGCAATGCTTCAGGACACTGCATGGGTCTTCAAAACACCCCATCAGCAGGCATCGTTGTGATTGACACACCCACCTAATTTGGCCCAGGAGAGGTAGAGGAGATCTGGCCCAGCTGCCAGCATAATTTCTCCAGCCCTGATGTATAGGATTCCAGCCTACCAAGTTGGAATATGCACAAAATGAAGCAGAGGGGAGGATTTATGCTTCCTTTACAAAATGTGGGTTGCCACCCCCTTCCTTTCAAGTGATCAGAGTGGCTGGTATGGGGGTAAAAAAACCAATTTATCTTCCTCACTTCCTCTGATGGATTTCAAGTTGGTTCCACTTACTTTCTCCCACCTGCCCCCAACCAGGGATTTTCTTGAGAATCCATTGAAACAGGGTGACTCACCTCCTTCATGGAGTTGTAATGCGAAATTGGTTCTTTTTATTACCTACAAAGAAAGCTAATGGAGAAAGCAGGAATGGCACAAAGGACCTACTGCCTTTATTGCCTTGCCAGGAATTCTCAACAAGTGCCCCAGCCATAAGGGCTGACTTCTTCATTTGCAAAGTGGTGCTTTTTGCAAAATGCAAATGATACACTTAAACGCTCCCGGATGTCATTACAATTAATTGTAAAGTACCTTGTAGAATTCCTCTGACCAAAATGAGGAAACTGGCCTTCAGGTCACATCCAGTTAATTGCTGGCACCTTCGTTACAATGTTACTTTTAGGGTCCTTCAAAAGATGTGGCATTGCTACATGCAAACAGGAGCCTGTATCCAGAAATGACATGATGGGCTGTGCACCCTGGTTTCATGAATGAGGGCCACAGGTTCCCCTTCAGTACCACAAATTTGCAGGTATGGCTGCTATGTAATCTATGTCTTTACTGTACTGTTGGTAAGATATGAGAGCTACACCCAGTTTCTTTGAACCACTGTACAGTGGTACCTCGGGTTAAGTACTTAATTCGTTCCGGAGGTCCGTACTTAACCTCAAACTGTTCTTAACCTGAAGCACCACTTTAGCTAATGGGGCCTCCTGCTGCTGCCGTGCCGCCGGAGCACGATTTCTGTTCTCATCCTGAAGCAAAGTTCTTAACCTGAAGCACTATTTCTGGGTTAGCGGAGTCTGTAACCTGAAGCGTATGTAACCTGAGGTACCACTGTACACTAGAGAAATACACTGCTTGGGTACACAAGGTCAATGCAACTATTATACAAAGTCTATAAACATTGGGATGGCTCTCAAATTTTATGGACGTATTATATATATTATTATATAAGCACAGTATGATTATGATTACAACATTTACACTGGCCCCTAGCTCCTCCGTTGTCTTCCACTCCTCTTGTAGGCCAGTAATAATAAAAATCTGGGAATAGGGAGAACAGACTGTATTGACTCTTCTGGACCTTTCAGTCCTCTTTCTTCATTGCCACTACTCTCTCTCAGAAGATCTCTCTTCCCCAAGCTACAACTCTTCTTCTATAATTTCCCCGTGTTGTTTCCATGTTGGGTTTTCCAGAAATGTTTTTTCCTCTTTTGGGTCACTATATAAAAAAGAAGTTCAATAATAATAATAATAATAATAATAATAATAATAATAATAATAATAATTTTATTTATATCCCGCCCTCCCCAGCCAAAGCCGGGCTCAGGGCGGCTAACAACAATAAAATAGTACAACATTCTAAAATCATTTCATTATAAAATTAATTCAAATCAAAATTGATGGCAACCATTAGGCTAAAGTTCTGTGAAGATTCCCAAAGGAGGGAGTCAGGCTGTGCCCTGGCCAAAGGCCTGGTGGAACAGCTCTGTCTTGCAGGCCCTGCGGAAAGATGTCAAGTCCCGCAGGGCCCTAGTCTCTTGTGACAGAGCGTTCCACCAGATCGGAGCTACAGCCGAAAAAGCCCTGGCTCTGGTTGAGGCCAGCCTAACCTTTCTGTGGCCTGGGACCTTCAGGATGTTTTTGTTTGAAGACCGTAAGTTCCTCTGTGGGACATACCAGGAGAGGCGGTCCTGTAGGTACGAGGGTCCTAGGCCGTATAGAGCTTTAAAGGTTAAAACCAGCACCTTAAACCTGACCCTGTACTCCACCGGGAGCCAGTGCAGCTGGTAAAGCACTGGATGAATGTGATCCTGCGGCAAGGACCCCGTAAGGAGTCTCGCCACGGTATTCTGCACCCACTGGAGTTTCTGGGTCAGTCTCAAGGGCAGCCCCATGTAGAGCGAGTTACAATAATCCAGTCTGGAGGTGACCGTCGCGTGGATCACAGTGGCTAGGTCAGGGTGAGAGAGGTAATGGCAATGGAACTATACCTATCTAAAATCTTTTTTAGAGGTAGATAGTAGACTTGGCCATTTCCATTCCACTTGTTGCCCATGTTTTGCAGGATTTGGGTAGGGGGATTTTTAAATGCAGGGAACCTTTTGCAGCTGCTTTTCCTTGAGATGACGTTAAGAGAAAATGACAGCACTGTTGTCAGTGACAGCACAGCAGACATCCACATGTGGTTGTTGCAGGAGAGCACAAAATGCTGTTTTTGCTGAGATAATGCAAAGAAAGAAAGAAAGAAAGAAAGAAAGAGAAAGAAAACACGATCCAGTGAAAATTAAGCATTTTTAGTTCAATTGGTTAAAAGAGAAGAGTTATGTGCCTGTTTAAATCTGCCCCCTTGAAACCAACAGGATAGAGGGATGCTTAATTCTGGTTTAGTGTTCTGAGTGAATAGTACTTTTTGTTAAAAATTAAAGTCTCCATTAAAATTGACCAAAGAATTCTGAACTTGGGCAATTCAGGTGGTGGTTTACTGCCCCACTCTACTGCTGTCCACTAGCAACAGCTTCTGAGAGTGGAGATATACCAGGTGGTTGCACAGTTTCAGCCGAGTCTTTGCATTATCTCTTGAGTGAAATCGATGACAAGTTTTCTTTTAAGTGCTTGCAAAATAAACCGTCAACCGTAGGAGGGCCAGGAAACAGTCTGCTTCAGGGACTGAACCTGAAAGGGGAGGGGGGTTTCTGCACAGAGCTTTGACGCAAGACAAATAAAAGCTATCCACTCCCACTTCTTTATAAAGGGGGGGGAGGGGGGCATAAGTCTAATACTGCCTTACAATTCTCAGGAGAGACAAAGTTGGAACAGAGGCTTCCCCTGGGTGCAATTCAGTCTCCAGAAGAGACCCCCACACACCATATTCAGGAAGGTAAGTGGATCTCTTGTAAGTCTTTTTTCCCCTCCAGAGCAGAGATTGAAAGAAAAACACAAGAGCTTGTGTTGGCTTCAGCACCAAGGAGAGCTCCTAGAAGTCAGGCATGCAGGTGGCGTTTACACAGTCAGAGTCTGATGTTCTTTTTAGCAGCTGTAGAGTCTGCATTCTGCTTCCAAGGTGTGCAAGAGAGCTTAGGAGCGGAGGGCCAGTGGAAATTTGACCCACCTTCAAGCGAAAATCAAAACTAGTTCATGAAAGCCTATGGCATAATAGATTTGTTGATCAGTAAAGTGCTGGAGGACTATTTGTTTCCAGAGGGGTGGTGTGTGTTGCGGCACAATCCGCTACGTTAGACAGTGATGGAGTCTGGGCTACTTGTGTCTCAAGCCTTCACAGGGTATAAGAACTACTGCTAAGAAGCAACTGCGAGAGAGAGGACTGGGGAATGCAGGAAACAGGCAGGAAGAAATGCAAAACATACTTCACTCCTGAGCTTTAAAAGCTAAATGTCCTCTCTTAAGGTAGAGATGTTACGAGTAAGACCAGCAACAACATTTTGTAGTGTCTTCTGCTTCATCAAAGGAGTGTTCCTCTTCATGGTTCCAGACAGCTCTTCCCTCCACATAGGGCATGCCCCATCTGTTTTTCTTTTCTATAGTTCACCCTATATTCTACGCCTGCCCAGTCATCATTGGGTTGTTTGGGGGCAGGGGGTGGAGGTTGCCCCATTAGCTATTTTTTAAAGATTCTTTACACTTCTATAAACCCTTCGTTTCTCCCAGTCCTGTTGATACCTCTTTGTTGTTTCCTCAGTTTGCACTATGATCCTGGTGACACTCATCCCGAGTTTGATATTAGGAGAGAAAGAGGGAATTCTGCCTCTTTAACTTCCAATTTAGCAAGGACCAAATATATTTGTAAATCTGATTAGCTGAGATAGCAAAGGCAGGGGAAGCAATGGGAAAGAAAGGGGTGGCAATGAAGGGTTTCCCTATACCTAAAGTACAGCTCATAATCCATAAAGTACTTGTTCATCATATAGAGATTGTGCATAAAGTTCCTTAAAGACTGGTATGTATATACAAGGAGCATGGATCATAGCTGAAGCATTTCTCTTGCATTTAGAAGCAGGAATATTGTTGTCTTTATAAAAATGAGTTGAGGCTTCTTATTGTTCCAGAAGAGAAATTCAAATGCACTTATCCGTCAATATGAATGCACAATATTTTATTCCCACCCTTCTCCCCGGTCGGACTCATGTTAAAATTTAGAAATACAGCAAGCTGTAAACTCATGAATGCATCTATTCTGCATTATAAGCATGTCATGATACAGCGTTTGCCAACTATAGATTCCATATTTCTTATTATAAGAGAGAGAGAAAACAAGTTTAAAAATATATATTTGAGCAATGCACAGAAATAGCTGCTGTTTATATACCTGAGTTTCAAAAGCAGTTATTACATATATTTTGATTTTATTCTAATGATCAAGGTGCAAAAAACTAAGAATAAATTTATTCTGAAGGACTTAGAAGGCATAGATTTGCAAAAAATGAAAGCAAATCAAAAGTGTTAAAATAAAATCATAGGGTGTTATGCCTTATGCTCAGAGATCCCATAGTGAATTACTATACTGAGAGGACTGCACGGTGTTAGCAAAACCAATGCAGTTGGTGCTGTGCAGAACACAGAAATTGAAGCGGGGAAAGTGGCTTGAGAGAGGAAGAAAGAGTGTTCCAGCCACAGAGAGCAGCACCACTATATAGGAACAGACACAGTGCTGAATAGAGGAGCTAAGAACAGGGGAGTTTGTGCAGGAGACAGGTGTTTGGAAGGGCCCAGTGGCTCATCTAATGTCAGCCACATTGCAGGAATACAAGGTAGCTCTAAACCAGGGATGGAGATAATGGAGCTGTTCAGCTGTTCAGCTGTGGTTTAACCCACAGCGCCACCCGCGTCCCTATGTCTTTAGCAACTAGGTGCCAAATAGATGTGTTCAGGTGGTACATTTCCTGACTGAGGAATGAGGGACCGAAATCCTAACAGGAACAGGGTGAAGCGAAGCACAGTTGCAAGACTGGTCCCGCCACAGCATGGATAAAATCATGGATAAAATGCAGTATCAGTGCTATTGGCAACAGGAAAAACTTTACTCACAATTTTATGCCATAAGACCGGAAGGGGAAACCTGTGTCCCTCCAAATGTTTTTGGACTCCAACTTCCAGCGGCCCTAAGCAGCATGGCTCTCTAGTCAGGAAACATGGGCAGGGGCGTAGGAGGGGGGTGGGGTGTGCGTCCCAGGTGCCACCATGGAGGGGTGTGTGTGTGTGACAAATTATCAAGGGACAATTACTGCCCTACTAAGGCGGTTCATAAAAAACTTTTTTTTTTAAATGCCTGCTCCAAAGGTCTTATCTTACTACACTAGGGATTATATAACTATATATGAAATTTCATGCGTATCAGTTAATATCTTCACCCTCCTCCACGAAAATAGCTGTTTACTTGGCCGTTTTCCTGTGTCGTGAAATCTGAAATTTCACTTCAGTGGAGCAGGATCAAGATATTAACTGATATGTTTTTTGTTTCGGTAAACCACTTTGCACGTTTTAAAAAATATTTTTTATTAAATAAATAAACAATAAATATAAATAAAATTAGACAAGCCAAAACACAACCCATCCTGTAGATTTAAGTATCTGTCCACAGTCGCCTACTTGTTATCAGAGGCCCAGAATCCCCTGTTCTAAGCACACAGGTGTTATAATCAGTCAGGATTAAACAGTCAAGATAAAAAGACTGAATAAGGCAACGGCCAGGATTGGAAAAGCTTCCTCAGGCATGCTCATGAGATTTTGGCCTTCCCTCTGCTTTGCTGAACAGCAGACCCCTGTGCTTTCCCTGTGGGGAAAGCTTTTGCAGCTTTCCCCAGCTCCAAAAACCCTTTTGCCATGTGGAGAAAGACAAATCCCAAAGTATCTCGTGGCGCATGGAAGTAGCAGGGGGGTTATTTGGATCCCAGCCAAAAAGGTTCAAGGCTACTGGTAAAATGTTAAATGTTAATAGAGAATTGGGACGTTTAAATGGTGTTGGCAAGACTGCAGACATTGTTAGGGAAATAATCAGGAGTAAATGAGCAGCATGGTGCTGTGGGTTAAACCACAGAGCCTAGGACTTGCCAATCAGAAGGTTGGCGGTTCGAATCCCCACGACGGGGTGAGCTCCCATTGCTCAGTCCCAGCTCCTGCCAACCTAGCAGTTTGAAAGCACATCAAAGTGCAAGTAGATAAATAGGTACCACTCCGGCAGGAAGGTAAACGGCGTTTCTGTGCGCTGCTCTGGTTCGCCAGAAGCGGCTTAGTCATGCTGGCCACATGACCCAGAAGCTGTACGTCGGCTCCCTCGGTCAGTAAAGTGAGATGAGCGTCGCAACCCCAGAATCAGTCACGACTGGACCTAATGGTCAGGGGTCCCTTTACCTTTACCTTTTAAATGAGCAGCATATTTGCGTCCTCAGCCCAAATATTATTATTATTATTATTATTATTATTATTATTATTATTATTATATTTCATTTTTTATTATTAGTTTATATACTGCCCTATACCTGGAGGTCTTAGGGCGATTCACAGAAAAGATTACAATTTATATAATCAGAATAAAAACAACAACCCAATAACACCTCCCCCCACCCCAGAAAAGAGCCACATTTTAAAAGGGTATAGGATGTCAAAAAGATCAACCAAAGGCCTGCTTGAAAAGGAACTTTTTTGCCTGGCGCCTAAAGATGTGTAATGAAGGCACCAGGAGAGCATTCCACAGATGGGGGGCCACTGCAGAGAAGGCCTATTCTCGTGTTGCCACCCTGCAGACCTCTCAAGGAGGCAGCGCATGAAGGAGGCCCTCAGAAGATGATCTCAGCGTCCGGGTAGGTTCATATGGAAAGAGGCGGCCCTTGAGGTATTGCGGTCCTGACCACAATAACAGAGGAAGTGCCTGACAGGGTCAGATCATTGGTTCCTCTGCACTGAGTGCCTTTGGATTCTAGGACTTCACATAAGTCTTTCCCAGACCCAGCTAGAGGAGCCAGGCATTGATCCGAGAGCATATGTTCTAGCACGGAGCTATAGCACTTTCTTAAGACGGGTTGGGGATTGTTATGCTATTTTTGCTCTTGACAGGTTCCAGAAAGTCAATGGATTCTGGCGCCATAAGAAAGCTTTTCCTTGATTTGGCAAGAGATGTTGGGCACAATATAATGATGAAAGATTGCGAAAGGCTGTGGAAGAAAGGGGTCAAGTTTACTGCATGTACTGTATTAAAGGAAAATATTATGAAAATGATGTATAGATGGTACTTAACCTCGGTGAAATTAGCAAAGATTTATCATACAAATGACAATCAATGTTGGAAATGCAAAGAAAAAGAAGGTACTTTTTATCATAGGTGGTGGACGTGTCTTAAGGTGAAAGACTTCTGGGAAAAGATTTATAATGAGTTGAAAAAAATGTTGAAAAATACATTTATTAAGGAGCCAGAAGCCTTTCTACTTGGAATAGGATTGGAATTGCCCCCCAAAAATGTTATACTGTTTTTGTATGCCACTACAGCGGCAAGACTTTTATTAGTCAAAAATTGGAAATCGCAAGAAATACCAACATTAGAAGAATGGCAGATGAAGATGTTGGACTTTTTGGAGCTGGTCGACGTGACTGGAAGAATCCAGGACCAGAAAGAAGAGGAGAGAGGATTGGAATAAATTTAAAGAATATTTAGCTAAATATTGTAATATAAGATAAATAGAAAATTCTTGGAAGCAATAAACAGGCTTAGGGCTAGAATAAGAATATGTGGTAGTAAAGATTAAGGATTAGAATATTAATAAAAGAGAAGAGGATAGTAAATGAAAGGAGTTAATTTTACTAGAAATATGATTTTGGAGAACTGCTACACAGGTGATACAGTGAAATTCAGTTAGATATGAGGAATTCGAGGATTCGAGGAAGTCAGTTATCAATGTAACAAGAATTAGATATTGGAAGAAACAAATTTTCTTTGTGTTTAGTTTATTGTATTGTAATGTGTCTCCCCCCCCCTTTTTTCTTTTCATTATAAATGTGGAAAATCAATTTTAAAAATTGGAAAAAGAAAGAAAGCTTTTCCGCAACATGAGATTCACCCGCTTCCTTTTCATTGTGGGTTTGCTTCATGTGACGCCTTTCTTCTGCTATAGCCAGATGGACCCCATGGCTCTTGGCCGAGCTGATCCCAAATGCTGGGAATCCTCCTCAGCCGTCTTGCTGGAGATGAGGCAGCCGCGTGTTTCTGACTCTGTCAGCGGCTTTTGGGACTTTATGATCTTCCTGAAGTCGTCTGAGGACTTGAAGCACGGGGCTTTGTTTTGGCACCTAGCCCAGCTCTTCTGGGATATCTACATGGACTGCGTACTCTCCAGAACCCACGGCTTAGGGAAAAGGCAGTTGGCTGAAGCCCAGAGGCAAACTGCAGCTCTTCCATCTTGGCTCATATTGAGTAAGCAAGGTTAGTACTGTGCACCCAGGGGGCAGGAAGGCAGCAGCAATGTCCAGAACTTTTATCAACCCTAGTCAGACAGGTGTGCGAAGGAGGCATTTCATGGGCTTCCTCCCACACAAATCAAATCAGGGTCCTCAATCTTTCTGTACCTGGGGGCACATTTGGAAATCCATGGTTTTCCATGGATCTGAGGGCAATGAAACAATCACTGAGACGGCTAGAGCGCCGGTGGTGCATAACTCATTCTGAAGCTGACCGGACATGGGTTAGAGCTCAATGTTGAGCCTACCAAGTGGCGGTAGCAACGGCAAAGAAGACTTTCTTCACTGCCTGTATTGCATCTGCAGAAAACAGCAGCAGGAGACTTTTCCAGGTGGTTCACAATTTAGCAGAACCACCTGCTATATCGGGGCCCAGTACGGGCCCCATGATCTCCTGCAATGATTTTGCTAAGTTTTTTGCAGATAAAGTCGCTCAGATTCGGGAAGAGGTAGACTCCACCGTGGGAGCAGGGCTGGGCCGGGAGAGTGCTAGAGTCCTGTCTAGTCAAGTTGAGTGGGATCAATTGCAATCTGTTACCTCCGAGGATGTGGACAGGCTGCTTGGACGAGTGAAACCAACCACCTGTCTCCTTGATCCTTGCCTATCCTGGCTTATAAAAGCTTCGCGGGGTAGTGAATGCTTCTCTCTGTGAGGGAGCCTTCCCAGACCCACCGAAAGAGGCGGTTATCAAACCGCTTCTTAAAAAACCATCTTTAGATGCGGCCACGATGGCCAACTATCGCCCAGTCTCAAATCTTCCATTCTTGGGCAAGGTGACTGAGTGAGTGGTTGCTGAACAACTCCAGGCACGCCTGGAAGAAGCAGACCATTTGGATCCCTTCCAGCCGGGATTCAGGCCTCATCATGGGACTGAAACTGCCTTGGTCGCGCTGGTTGATGATTTCTGGTGGGCTAGGGACAAAGGTGAGAGCTGTTTCCTAGTTCTGCTGGATCTCTCAACGGCTTTTGACACCATCAACCATAACATCCTTCTGGACCATCTAGAGGGGCTGGGAGCTGGGGGCACTGTTATACGCGCCTTCCTCCTGGGCCATGTTCAGAAAGTGGTGGTGGGGGATGAGTATTCAGACCCCTGGGCTCTCACCTGTGGGGTGCCTCAGGGTTCTGTCCTCTCCCCCATGCTTTTCAACATCTACATGCAGCCGCTGGGAGAGATCATCAGGGGGTTTGGGCTGGGTGTTCATCTGTAGGGTTTGCGGCGTTCAGGAGCCAATTTGTTCCGGAGTCAAGCCATTTGGGAACCAAGGTACCACCATTGTAGCATTAAGACAGAAGAAACACTGGGGGTGCATAGAACTACCGCCACCCCACAAAATACCCAGGTAAAACACCTACAAACACTTTAAAACAAATAAAACCCAGGCATAAAAAAGCCCCCCAAAACTAACAAACAGGTAACCCCTCCCCAATCTAGCAACTCCCCCCAAAACCCTCAATTTAAAATAATAAAATTGGGAGGGGCAAGGAGGCTAGGTAGGTGCCATCAGGGGTGTCTTAGGGTGCCATGGTGCCCACGAGTTTTTTGTAGGGGACTCAAGGCCTAGGTCCCATGCAACTAGTGGCAATGTCAGAAGAGGTCCCGGCCAAAGTGAAATCCATGTGAACCAGAAACATGGCTTAAATTTGTCGTTAAATCTATTACTATCGATGGAGCACAGTTGTCACTGTAATTGAATTGCGCCCTTTGTATGGTGGCACAATTCTAGAAATTCAGGGATTACTTCTGCCATGGTTATACATGCTGAAAACTATGCAACCAAAGCAGGCATCAAAGGGATCTCAGTGGGGATGGATAAATCACTTGGCTGCTCATAAGATTCACGAGGTGGGCGTTAACATGGCTGAAACTCTCTTCTGAGCAAGTTCCTTCAAAGGAAATGGGAACTGCCTTCGCTCCCCTTTCAGTTGCTTGAACAGAGAATGTGTAGACAAAGATATGTTGCTCATATTTTACCGGATTGATAAGTATTTCTCCCCCCCAAAAAAATATCTGCTAGATTTCAGTTCATATAGGATGTGTGATTAGATTGATTAGATATCAGTTTGCAGGTTCAGATTCTGAAACCCTAGCTGGCACAAACCATCGTTCACACTGGCACCAACAATAAATTTAACTGCAATAAGAAGGGTTGAGTTAACTCTAGGAAGTACAAGAACACATATACACAAAACTGACTCCCAGCGTATTAATTATGGTTAGGCGAGAGCCAGAATCACAACAACATTGTTCCTCAATCTCAGATAAAATGTGAATAATGGCAGGTGTTTGAGCAAATGGGAACTGTAAAATAATGATGTTATTCAGCCTGAGTGTTAAATCATAGACTCGGTGAACTAAAATATAATCGTTATTTTATTTTATTTTTTAAAAGCTGCAAACTTAGCAAGGGCCACAGTTCTGCTAGCTCCTAAATGAGAAGGAAATAAATCAGGCTCTCTAAATTTCAGCTGGGCTTTTGTTTCACTACGTAGTCAGTCCATGTTAATTTAACAGAAACATCCACTTCCATGATTAACTGATGAAAAAGAAAAAATTGATGGACCACACAACACAGAGAAACATATTATCTAGCATCTTATAAAAATGAAGCAAACTGCTGATTCTTAAGCATGGTAACCATTATAGCAGGAGCACCTTTATTTCATCCGAGGTTCACAATGGCTAGAGCTGTGCAAAATGTTCATTTGGATAGGTTAAGGTTGCCATATTTCAAAAAGTAAGAAACCATGACACAACGAAAGTGTTAGGAAGACCCCAAAATTATTGAGCTGCCCCCCCATCTCATGCTTAGTTAGATTTGATATTTTGTCCTGATTCTTTCCTTACTCAACTGATTGATTAATTCACTGTAGCTTTAGTGGTCATCTGAATGTTGTGTGGGTCAAGTTCATCCAATGCCCAAGGAAGTGTACAGGTGAGGGATATTCCAATCCGTGTTCATTTACCATGCAAATCACTTTAACATAGATTAAATACCTGTTAACACTTGTTAATTAACCTAACTTGCAGCCACAGGCATGAAATACTTAATTTAAATTAAGTGCTGTACCTCCTCACTTATCCCTGTTAAATTGCCAACGATTAATGTTAATCACTCGTTTATATATCTCGGTCACTAAATGGGAAGCCCTTGAACACTGTGTAAGTTTGCACATGAAGAGCAGCAGTTTCATTCACTCTGGTTTATTTTACCACATGCAACATTTGATCTCATGATCAGTGAAATATGCTCAGAGTTGAGAGTGGATTTCATGCTCTTTATTCAGCTCATAGTGGTGAGGAGGAATGGAAGTTCCCCCAGAATGTCTGCTTTATATACATTATTTGCACAATGGGCCCCACGTGATTGGCTAATTCCGGAATTCTCCTGTAGGCCAATCAGGTTGTGGATTCACTTCCATCTGGACCTGGATTGGGTGGCTCCTGCGGACCAATCATATTGCTGCGTTGTTCTAGGACCAATCAGACTGCTGCATTCTGAATCCTATTGTTCTAGGACCAATCAGACTGCTGCATTTTGGATCCTATTCAACTCAGCACATAACAATCAGGATGATTTGAAGTATGTCCGTTGGGAGGGATTAAGCATCACACTCCTCTGATTGTCCCATAAGTGCAAGCATTTTGACTTGCCAGACACAATGTTCCCCAGTCCACCCCCTGCACTCTGTTCCAAGGTTTCGCCCAACCTTCCCTACCCCCAAGCCAATTTTGGGGGGGACTGGGGGAAGCATCACAGCACAAGTAGAAGTCCTTGTGCACAGTTTCCTCTGGCAGAACTCATTCGGCGATTCCCATGGTCTTCTTATAAATTAGCTATCATATCAAATAAGGTATATTTCTAAACCATGGGATGAAATTAAACATGAAACGACATGTTAATGTCAGGAAAAGTACCATTTTCCAGGTGCATCAGAAATACATGTTTATGTTGCTTTCCCTCCCAATGTCTAGGCATCTTTTCACAAATTCAGATGACTCCTCTATGGAAAAAGAAAGAACTGAAAGAAAACTTAATAAGAATCCATGTGCACAAGAGCAGGTCTGCTTCGCACGGAAGAATTACTGGACTTTTAACAATCAAGGCGAAACTCTTCTAGAGTTGTACAGTTGAGTTCTTCATCCGTCCCTCTTTTCTCCCTTTAAACAAATACTGTTACTGTTTCGGTTTTTGCCTTTAATTGCATTTGAAGTTGTTTCTCGTGGAAAAAGACTGCCTGCACACTATCAGTACAATCTAGCAAAAACTTGTTGTAAATTTACATCCCATTAAAATGATTAGGAGTTCTTTGCAACTAACTCCCATTTCATTCCTTTCAATGGTACTTGGTTGAAGCTAACTTTTCCCGAACGATGTTTTCTTTGTTAAACTGGATGTTGGTGCTTGTTTTTATTTTGATTTACCGTATTTTCCGCTCTATAGGATGCACTTTTCCCCCTTCAAAAATTATGGGGAAATGTGTGTGAGTCCTATGGAACGAATGCAGGCTCCTTGGCTTCAGCGATAGCAATGCGAAGCCTCCGTAGCACAAAGGGAGAGCTTCCCCCGCGCTCCGGAGGCTTCACGTTGCTTTCGCTGAAGCTGCCTGAAGCCCCCGGAGTGCAGTGGGAACTCCCGCTGTGCTCCGGGGGCTTCAGGCGGCTATCCACAAGCCTTTGGAGTGCAGCGGGACTTGTGGATAGCCGTCTGAAGCCTGGAGAGCGAGAGGGGTCGGTGCACACCAATCCCTCTTGCTCTCCAGGCTTCGCTTTGCTGGAGAGGTGCTGCACAGTTTTCCCTCTCTGCGCAGCGCCCCTTCAGCAAAGCGGGAGGAGAAATGGAAGGGGCTCCGTTTCTCCTGCCGCTTCGCTGAGCAGAGAGGGGGAGAATTTTTTTTCCCTGTTCTCCCCCTCCGATGTTCCGGTGCGTCCTATAGAGAGAAAAATACGGTAATTAGGAAGCCCGGGAATTCTGTTTCTTTAATAAGTTTGTAAGTAGCTAGCTCCCCAGTACAGAAAAGAAGAGAATACAATGCTTTTCATTTTCAGGTGCTGGCTGCTACCCAAGTACCCATTGGGTGCTTCTCCCACATGCATGCTGACAAATGCGTAAACTGCCCAGAAGTAAAAATAAAAATCACTTGTATCTCAGCATGCGCGAGACGGAGGTCTCTCTAAGGGAGAAGAGCCCCAGTCAGACAAATCATGCACACCTTACAGCCAAAGTCAGGATCTGCAACAGTAAACTGCAACCTTTCCTGGATGTGTGCATGCATGTGCTTAATTAAAAAACCCAAAACTACTGTGTTCCTTGTGTCACACTTTGTGGTTTCACACTGAATGTAATGATTCAAGTATTGAGCACATTTTGAGAATCTTAGAACATAAAAAAGTAACATCAATAATCAACACTCAGACCAATCACTCCTTGTTTGCAAAAATCATCCTTACTATATTACCATATATATATATATATATATATATTTGCTTTCGTAGATTTTCACGGGTACAGGAATGCAGGTTTTGGTGTCCTCGGGTGTCTTCCCGTGTAAAAGTTGGGGTGTCTAGGCGACGTTTCGACGAGGTCTCACTCGTCATCTTCAGGCTGGTGCTTTCGGCTTCTTGTTACTGGAACAGAGCAGGATCTCAGTGTTTGAGTTCCTATAAATACTGTTGAGGGGGTGTGGTGTATAGCCTCCAATGTTCTGGGCAGAGAGGAAGTTCCCAGGCTAGTGTGCCTTTTCTTCTTTTGTTCCTTAATTACTTGGGGGATATCTTGAGTGATTTCTTGAGTGATATCCTGAGTACCACTTAGGTGGGTCATTAGGTGTGGATTAGTTGCTAAAGCCTTCGTGTCTTGACCTCTTGAACTTTGTGAAGAGTTTTTCTGAGAAGATGGCTGTACTGCGTTTAGTTGTGCTCTGGCTTGGCTTCGTGTATAGGGGCGAGCTGTGGTTTTGTGTCCTGTGCCAGCCAGATCTGTGTAGGGATTGCAGGGGGGTGCAGCATCCGGAGGTACCACCATGGTTTGGCTACTGTATGGTGTCTGTAATTTATCTGTGGAGAGGGTCTGGGTTTGGGTCTGGTGTGGTTGATTGGTGATGGCGTTCTGTGTGCCTCTGGATCTGGTGTCGGTTTTTGTGGGGAGGGCTAATTTCCAGATGTCTGGCAGGCGGGATGTGTCGTCACGCTTGTTCATGTTGTGAGGGTGTTTCTCTATCTCGATGGCTTCCATGATTATTCTCTTGTGGTGATGTTCCATGTTAGAGAGCAATTTGGAATCTGCAAAATTAATTTCGTGTCCTGTTTCTTTCATGTGTTGGAAAAGAGAGGAAGTTTTTTCTTCTTTTTTGACGGCATTCTTGTGTTCTGCGATACGTGCATTTATTCGTCTGTTTGTTTGTCCAATGTACGTGGCTGGGCAGACTTTGCAGGGTATTTCATAGACCCCTTGGTTTTCCAACTGGATTTTATCCTTGGGGTCGCCCCGAGACGCATCCCCACGGAAAACATCATATGCGGAGTCGAAGCTAGCCTAACCAAAATCAACCCAGATGAAGCCAATAAAATCAGACTTGAAGTCACCAACATCCTCTGCTCCAGCAAACCACCCAGAAGCAATTTACACAAAGAAGAACAGAAAGCACTCACCAACCTGAGGAAAGACAACAACATAATCATTCTCCCAGCAGACAAAGGTAATGCCACTGTTGTGATGAACACATCGGACTACCAAGCAAAACTATCAAATCTACTCCAAGACCCTACCTACCAACCTATAAAAACAGATCCCACCACCTATCTGGAAAAAACCACCAAATCCAAAATAAAAGCCTCTCCTATCAGTGAAGAAATCCAGCTAAGAATCATCCCCAGAGAAAAATCATCCAGATGCCCCAAACTCTACGGCCTCCCCAAGATACACAAAGAAGGAACACCACTCAGACCAATAGTCAGCTCCATAGGCTCACCTCTACAAAATCTCGCTAAATTTCTCGCTAAGCAACTTCAGCCCTATGCAGAATCCATCCCTTCACACGTTACAAACTCCTTCCAGTTCATAGAAACAATAAAGAAGCAAAACCTACATCCCAATGACCTACTTGTGAGCTTCGATGTTGTATCTCTCTTCACACAAGTGCCCATTAATGAAGCCTTGACAGCCATTCAAAACAAATACAATCCCCCCGAATACATCCTGGACCTTACCAACCACTGCCTAACCAACACGTACTTCATCCACAATGGACAAAGATACAAACAGATAGAAGGAGCACCTATGGGATCACCACTCTCACCGGTCATCGCAAACCTGTACATGGAACACTTTGAAACCAATGCTTTAGACAAGTCAGAACACAAACCCAAACTTTGGCTCAGATATGTTGACGACACCTTTGTAATTTGGCCACACGGGAAGGAAAAACTAGATAGCTTCCTCACACATCTCAACAGCCTACACCCCAAAATACAATTCACTATGGAAATAGAAGCCAACAACCAACTTCCCTTCCTTGACGTCCTAATCTACAAAAAACCTGATGGCTCCCTAGGACACACTATCTACCGGAAAAAAACACACACCAACCGCTACTTACATGCACAATCACACCACCACCCTGCACAAATAAACTCCGTAGCCAAGACTCTCATCTCCAGAACCAAACGCCTGGCTGACAAAGACCACTTGACAACTGAGTTACAGAATCTCTCCAATGTGTTAATCGCCAATGGATACCAGCAAAACAGGGTTACGAAGCTAATGCAAAAAGAAACACCCCCCAAAAACCAAGACACAGAAGAAAACAATGGCATGGCCCTCCTTCCTTATATCAAGGGCACTACAGATAAAATTAGCAAAATCCTCCATAAACACAATATCAAAACAGCCTTTTACACCAACCAAAAAATAGCCAATATCCTCAGAAACCCCAAGGATAAAATCCAGTTGGAAAACCAAGGGGTCTATGAAATACCCTGCAAAGTCTGCCCAGCCACGTACATTGGACAAACAAACAGACGAATAAATGCACGTATCGCAGAACACAAGAATGCCGTCAAAAAAGAAGAAAAAACTTCCTCTCTTTTCCAACACATGAAAGAAACAGGACACGAAATTAATTTTGCAGATTCCAAATTGCTCTCTAACATGGAACATCACCACAAGAGAATAATCATGGAAGCCATCGAGATAGAGAAACACCCTCACAACATGAACAAGCGTGACGACACATCCCGCCTGCCAGACATCTGGAAATTAGCCCTCCCCACAAAAACCGACACCAGATCCAGAGGCACACAGAACGCCATCACCAATCAACCACACCAGACCCAAACCCAGACCCTCTCCACAGATAAATTACAGACACCATACAGTAGCCAAACCATGGTGGTACCTCCGGATGCTGCACCCCCCTGCAATCCCTACACAGATCTGGCTGGCACAGGACACAAAACCACAGCTCGCCCCTATACACGAAGCCAAGCCAGAGCCAAGTTCAAGCCAAGTTCAAGAGGTCAAGACACGAAGGCTTTAGCAACTAATCCACACCTAATGACCCACCTAAGTGGTACTCAGGATATCACTCAAGAAATCACTCAAGATATCCCTCAAGTAATTAAGGAACAAAAGAAGAAAAGGCACACTAGCCTGGGAACTTCCTCTCTGCCCAGAACATTGGAGGCTATACACCACACCCCCTCAACAGTATTTATAGGAACTCAAACACTGAGATCCTGCTCTGTTCCAGTAACAAGAAGCCGAAAGCACCAGCCTGAAGATGACGAGTGAGACCTCGTCGAAACGTCGCCTAGACACCCCAACTTTTACACGGGAAGACACCCGAGGACACCAAAACCTGCATATATATATATATATATATATATATATATATATATATCACATAAAGATCAGGCCACTGTTAACCACATTTAGGAAAAGATTGAAGGATGTGCTTTTATTCTGTCACTGAAATCGTTGGGATGATGTAAAAGTGCTCAGTTGATTGGACTTAACCTAAAGATATTGTTTCTTGAAAAGTCATTTGACAGGAGACAGGAACATTGAAAAAATGTTAACATCAATCTATGATGGTTTAATATGCCATTTCAATATTAATATTAATATTAAAATTAGAATACAAAACCAGAGGAAAAAACTACTGTACAGAAGTTTTGACAGTAGCATTGCATGAAAATCTTCTGTTCCAGAATATAACCATGCCAGCTAACTCTAAATGAATTTCTGGACACTTTTGGAGAATTAGTTTCATGTAGCTGTCTTTTTTACCTTAGGCAATCCAGCAGTGATGGAGGCAGGAGAACCAATATCAGCATAACCATATTTCCTAGTTGGCAAAGTTACTTGGCTGATAAGATCAGAGAAAGACTTGCAAACATTCTTAGCTGTTAAGAGCAATCCTTCCTTAAGAACAGAGAAGTGACCTGGAAAAGAGAGAGAGAGAGAGAGAGAGGGAGAGCAGAAATAATATGT